GCTTGGCTTCACTGGGCAATCCCTCAGTCTCACTACCCTAGCCACACTCCTTCTTAACATTCATAGCTGGGTGCCCTCCATGTATCTCTCTTCACTTCAAATACTGAATGTCTTTCTGCTCTCCAGTCTCAAATTACGTGTTTTCTTTATTCTTTTCTTCTTCATCATAGGGTAGTGACATCCTTTTAAAACACCGGTTATTCCTACCCCTTTCACGCCCCAAACTACTCATCCTTTCTTTATTTTCCTTCCTTCCTTCCTTCCTTCCTTCCTTCCTTCCTTCCTTCCTTCCTTCCTTCCTTCCTTCCTTCCTCTCTCTTTCTCTTTTTTGCATAGGTCTCACCTCCAAACCTACCTCTTGCCAATGATGCCATCTCCCTCAGGTCTACCCCTCAGTCTTCCCTTCCTTTCCACTGTGCTGAGTGATGCTGCCTTGTTTAACCACAGTTTGATTATATACGCCTTGATATTGACACTAGGAATCCAGTGGTGACAACCCCAGCTGAACCCTTAGAGATGGCTCAAAGTTAGTGTCCCAGAGGGACATTTGCCAATGTCTATAGATGTTTTGGGTTGCTAGGAAGGGAGTTTTCTTCAGGCACGTACTGAGGAGAGGGCAAGGCTCGTGTTACATATCTTAGGATGCACAACCCACAATAATATCTTAGGATTGTCCAGCCCTCAAATACCAAGGCTTATTGGGGCTTAGGAGTCACATTACTGTAGGAAGAAGGACAGGAGACACTAGCAGGTGGAGTCCACTCAGGACCCTCTCTGGGCCAACATGAAATACAGAAAATTTGGGACCACTGGAGACATTGATTTAAGGGCCACTGAGTGCCATTGATGTGGAATTTGGAGGCCTATAATGGATTAAATGGCTCCATTTCAGCTCTAGCTTGAATCATTTCTTGTCTGGTCCACTATAAAGAATATAGTGATATGTCATGATAATTCTGAAATAAACTGGAATTAATCATATTTATTTATTTCTTTAAACAAATAAGTTAGATATACATGTTAAGACTTTGTTCTAAGCCATGCATGGTGGCACACATCTTTAATCCCAGCACTCAGGGAGGCAGAGGGAGGCAGGTTGATATGAGGTCGAGGCCAGCCTGATCTACAAAGCCAGTCCAGGAGAGCCAAGGATATGCAGAGAAACCCTGTCTCTAAAACCAAACCAAACCAAACCAAACCAAACCAAACCAAACCAAACCAAACCAAACCAAACCAAACAAAACAAAACAAAACAAAAGACTCTGTTCTAAAATGTCATCCCTTTCTTCATGGTCAGTGCTGTGCTTTGGGTAGTGTCCCTCAAAGACATATGTTAAGAACTGCTCCTCAGCCTACCATGCTGGACATGAATAGAATCACTAGGAAGTGGGGCTCAGTGGAAGAACTTTGATTCCCAGGATGGGAGAGGGCATCCTTGACCTCTGGTTTCCTGGCCTCCATGTGGTGAGCAGGTCTCCTGTCATGATGTACCCTGATGTTGCAGGCCCAAAGCAATGGGCCTGATTGTTCATAGACTGAAACTCTGAGCCCACTCATTTATCTTGGGGCTTTGTTACGGTGGTGATGAGACGCTGAATAATGCAGTGAGTGGTTGGGGGTTCTATCCAGGAGATACTGTTGCATTCACAGTTGCCAAGATAACACCTCCATGTTTTCTTCCAAAATGTTATTGTCCTATGTTTGCAACATCTCTCAAATTAACTTTTGTGGGTAGAGGAAGAAGATGGGCAATTTTTTTTTTTCCTTGCTCACTAGCGGTTCTGTTGGTTCCTATAAATGCAATTTTTTTTTTAAATTTAGAAACTGTATTCCTTGAAATGTAGCAGGATCAACAGAAAAACCATACAAATCATAAGCATCATATCATTGAGACACAATGGCCATGTGATCTCCACTTAGGTCACGTGAAATAATGCCAGTGCCCAGAAGCTGTGTCCATTGCTGCATTTGAAACAAGTAGATTTGTATTTTATGCTTTATGTTCTTTTGGTGGCCTTGTTTATTGCATGGCACTGGGGATTGAATCTGGAGTCTTTATGCACACTGGACCATCCCACCAGTCTAGAAATTGAATACATAAATTCATATGACATATACTCTTTAACGTCTAGATTGTTTCACATTGTATCTTATACCCATGCTGCTACTTGCAGAGATAGCTCATTTTCATTGTTGTATCATACTTAAAAAAAAAAAAAAATCAAAGTTTCTATTTATCCATTCTTATGTTGATAAATTTAGGTTGTTTTAGCTTTTGACTACTCAAATAATATCAATGTATACTCAATGTATACATACATATGCACACACACAGCTCAGCTGCATTCCTGGTCATAAGAATGTGTATGCTAAAGGACAGTGGCCGAAAAACTTTACACTCTGCAGGACACCCATCTGGTATCAGCTCACGTGGCACCTCTGCTGTTTCACATTCAGCTGTTCCTGTGGGTAAGCTAGGGCATGGTATGTTTCACTTCGTTTTTTTTTTTTTTTTTTTTTTTTTTTTTTTTTTAACTTGGTATTAGTTCTGTGAATTTCACAGAACCCACTCATCTCCCCCCCACCCCGTTCCCGCCCTCCACTGTTGTCCAGGACCAGCTCTACTGTACTGCCCAGGCAGGGTGAAGGACCCACTCTCCTGCCTGCCATAGGTGGCAAGAGGTGAGGTGTTTTGTCCTCTCCCACACTGCTGCACAACAGACAAGTTGTAGGGCTAGCTCTCCCACACTTACCACACTCACACCCTCAGGGCTGGCTCGAGGCTGGCTCGCCCTTGCCTTCCTCCCTCCAATCCCTCCTGGCCTTAAGGGCCAGCTCTACTGTGCTTCTAGGGTGAAGTGCAGGGCTGGCTTTCCTGACGAAACAGGCTAGGGGCAGGGCAGCTATCCTGCTCTAATACACACAGGGCCAGCTCTGCCATGATGCAAGGCGAATGGGTGGGGCCCGTTCTTCACAGTCCTTATAAACGTCAGCGTATCTCCGACTAGGGACATCCTCCTGGCCTTGGTGGTCTGCAGGGTCACACACCCAAACATGGCCCCCGTGGCAGCACAGGCCAGGATGCGAGTCATCTCGGGGATGACTCCCCTTCCCCCCCCCTCCCCAAGGTAGGTGTGATGCTGGCCTGGTGGTCGTCTCGGGCTAGCTCTCTGTCCAGCTAGATTCCTGGCATAGGAATCGCTTACCCCTCCCCCTCAGGGAATATTAGGCTACTCATCATTCAGATGTCCGCAGATCAGGACACTGAGCATAGACAGCCTCTCTCCTCTCTGCCCCCTACTGGCGCACACGTGACACAGCGGCCACAGGCTTGCTTCCGTTTTAATGGTTATGAGCAATCTTGGGTTGAATTATGAAACCGGATATGTTTTCTTCAGTCCTGGGGCTGAGCCCTAGCCTTCATGCATGGTACATAAGCACTCACTTTCTCCTTGACAGAGACCCCAGCTTAAGTGGCGTTTTCTTTGACTACTTGAGAATTAAATAGCCCTTTCTGTGAGTGACTACTCAGGTCTGCTGTCTACCTGCTCAGAGACCACAGTCTCGGGTTGATTTGCCGTGCTAGTGTTTTCTGGACGTAAAGTCAGTGATCCAAACTGTTCTCCCTGACTTGCTTCTTACGTTCATTCTTTCTGTCCCTTCTCCCTCCAGGTTCTCTGAGTCTTGGAGGGGGTGATGGAGATGTTCCATTCATGGCTGGGGCATTTATGTTCCATCATGACTGATGTATTTTTCTGTGTGTGTGTGTGTGTGTGTGTGTGTGTGTGTGTGTTACAAATGCTTAAGATACACTCTTCCGTAAGTTTTCAAGGGTGTTATATTAATATAACATTACACAGCATATTGTACCCTTAGGCTTATCCTCACACAGCTGAGATTATGTTTGCTTTGACTGTGTCTCTCAGTCTTCCTTTTCACCAGTCCTGTTTCACCAGGGTAATTCCCCAGACTGGCTGGTGCTCGCATTCAGCTTTCATATTTCTGGGGCCTCGCTTTTGGTTTGTTATAGTCACCAGTTTCATGCAGGGCTTTTGGACTTTTGGTTTTATATCGTTAGTTATTTGTCTCTCCTGTGTTGCTATAAACTTACTGTAATTTTTATTACATGTGTGCATATCTGATACTGTAGTTTTTTCAGTAATGCTAATTTTAGAGTGAACCTGGACTATTATCATTTGCATAAATCTTAGAATCACCTTATGTAAAAATTTCCCAAAACAGTGTCCAATATTTTCATTTAAAGTACACTGTACCTTTAAAACCATTTTTTTCAGAGTAACTGCAATCTTTATTTTCATACATCCACATTTAATTTTTTGACAGTTTCACACCTGAGTATTGTATTTACATCCTTTCTATCCCTCCTTCCCTCTCTACCCTCCAATGACTCTCACTCCCCACTTACTCTCACATTCATGATTTTTCTTTTTCTTTTATTTAGATTTTTTTCTCACATGATATATCCCGATTACAATTTCCCCTCCTTCTACTTCTCCCAGGTCCTCCCCATCTCCCCTCACATCCAGATCCACACTCTTTTCCGTCTCTCATTAGAAAACAAACAGGCTTACAAATAAGGGATCATAATAAAATAAAACATAATAAGATAAAAAGGAATTCGTTGGAATAGGAAAAAAACAAAGAAATTGAAGGAAGGGAGCCCAAGAAAAGACAAAAGAAACAGTTATAAATGTAGAGAACCACATTTGAACAGACAGGAATCCCATAAAACAACAACAACACTAAATTGTAAGCCATAATATGTAGGCAAAGGACCTGTAGAAGACAGATAGACAGACAGACGGACGGACGGACAGAGAACAGAGAGAGAGAGAGAGAGAGAGAGAATTAAAAAAAAACAAGAAGAAAAAAAGAAAAGCCCAGACACTACATTGAGACAACAAGGAGCCCCAAAGATGCTACTGAGTTTGTTCTCTGTTGTCCATCTGCGGCCAGGCATGTATCCTTCCTTTAAGACTAGCTTGTTTCCTTAGTGAGACTTCCTTGGACAAAACTAAGTTCTCATTTGCAAGTGGTTATTACTTGGAGATACGGATGGTTAGGGATGTGGGCAGGCGTCTGCTTCTTTCAGTTCTAGGACCCCAGGTAGTGAAGATCCATGCAAGCCCTGCGCACCCTGCTTCTGTCTCTGTGAGTTCATATGTGCATTCATATGTGCTGTGTTTAAAAGGCCTTGTTTTCTTGGTGTCCTCCCTCTCCTCTGGCTCTTACATTCTTTTCATCTTCTCTTCCACAGAGTTCCCTGAACTCTAAAGAGAGGGGTTTGAGAGTAACATCCCTTTCAGAGTTGAGTGTTTCAAGGTCCCCCTCTGTGCAATATCTGGCTGTGAGTCTCTGTATTTGTTCCCATCTGATGCAAAAGGAAGTTTCTCCGGCGATGGCTAACGAAGGCACTGATCTACAAGTATAGCTGAACATCATTAGGAGTCAGTTTACTGTTGTGTTTATTGTTATGTTCCTTCAGTAGAACAGTGGTATTGGGTTTTTCTCCTAGGTCCCCAGGGTTATCTAGTCTCAGGTTCTTGGTCATCCAAGCAGTGTCTGGTATGAGTTCCATTTTGTGGAGTAGGCCTTTACTCAAATCAGATATTGGTTGGTTGCTCCCACAGGCCTTGTGCCACCGTTACATTAGCCTAACTTGCAGTCAGTACACCATTGTAGATGAAAGCTTTGTGGCTGGGTTTGCGCTTACATTTCTCCTTTGGTAGCATGCAGAGTGTCTTCATGTACCAAAGACACAAGCACATACGGATGAAGGTTCCACATCGGCACCAGCTCAACTTCGTAGCATTCAATGAGTTGTGTAGGTGCTGTCTTGAACAATAAGGCCTTGCCTATTGCTTTGTGGAGAGCGAGCTATAGCCTTGGCAATATCCTGGGTTTCTTGGGAGTTGTATGGAACCCCTTTGGGCAGCAACTCAATTAGATGCAATACACTTGTGGTAATGGAAACATTTTGCGACAATGATGTTCAGTTGGAGCTCTGTATCCCCTTTTGTTTGGTAATTTCATTTAGACCACCTGAATGTATGTATATACTTTAGGAAGCTTCTGCTGTATTAGGTTTCCATATTACCCCTCAAATGGCCTTCAGTTGTAGCTGTCTCTCCCCGTGTTCACTCCCTTGTTCCCCCTCCCCACTTGATCCTTCTGTTCTAGTTCCTTCCACGTCCTTTTGTTATCTCTTCCAGTTCCCTTTGCTAGGGAAATCTATCTGTACCCTCTAGACCTACTCAACATCTAATCTTTGTGGCTCTATGGGTTGTAGCTTGGTCATCAATGACTTAACAGCTACTGAAGTCTTTTACCAGCAGACCTTTCAGTTTATTAGCCTGGTGGCATTCATCCACTGATTTCACGTTTAGTATTTCCTCACCACGTCTCATAGTTTTCTAAGAAACACCTTCTACTAGGTTTAAGATTGCTGTTCATGTCTTTAATATTTTGAAAATGTTACTATATTTCATAATTTCACATTCCTATTGTTACTTCTCTAAAGAAATAAAATTAAGTTTTCCAGACAGTGAACATCCTGAATTTATAAATTGCCTGTACTTTTAGAACGCCTTTCTCTTATACAGTCATGCCATCTACAAATAATCATTTAATAAAGCGGAAAATTATAGTCAGGACAATACAAAGACTTTAAAAATGTTCTAGTTCCCTCTGTCTTTGTCAGTTCACTCATGGCAGATAAGATCTTGCTGAATTACATCAGTTTTCATTGTCGGAAGTGGCTTTTTATAATTTTTAAGAACATTTGTCAGGTCAGAACTTTAGAGCATTCTTGTTAATGTAGTGTTATGTAGTCACGATTCTACCATTTTCAACAGAAATGAACTGTGTTTCTCATGGCTTCTTTGAAGAAAATGTCTACTTTTCCTCTTGATACTTAAAGCACATTTAAAAAAAATTGTTTATGACTCATTCAACACTTTTGCCATGAAAGTTCTATTTTTTCTTTAAGATTTCTTTCTTGGGGTATATGATGTTTCTTATATCTGTGGTTTAATGTTGCAGAAATAACTTAGGATGGGGCCAGCCCTGCAGAAGCACTGGAAAGTCAAAGCCTCATAAGTCTTCCTTGGTTTTCAAATATGAGAAAACTTGACCTATTTTTTTTTAAATAAATGCCTGGGTTAAAAAAAGACAGAACCAAAACTTAATCAACTAAGTAGCCAACAAACTCACAGAGCCAAAGACTTTCTGACAAGGTATAGCAAGCGAGGCAATTCAATTCCTTTAAGCATTTTTAATATGGTTGAGAAGCAGCTTGTAGGTGCGTGTATGTGTGTGTCTGTTTGTCTGTGTATGTGTGCATATGTATGCCTTTCTTTTTTCTTTTTCTTTGTTTTGCTTGTCTGACTTTCCTATTAAAACTTACTCTGAATTCTCTCAGTGGCTTTCCAGAGCACTTGCTGAATTGTTACTTGTTTTAGGTGCCATCTATTTACCTGTAAATTTCATTGTTTAGCAGCAGAATAATACTCCATTGTTTAAATGCACCATATTTTCATTATCCATTCATTGGTTGATGAACAAATAGGCTGTTTTCACTCCCTCGATATTGTGGATAGAGAAGAAATGAACGTGGTTAGGCAGGATACTATATAGTAAGAGTGTGTTGCTCCAGTTTTTAGTTGAGTTGTTCTATTTGGTTTCAGTTGTCTATTCTAGATACTAACAGGCTGTCAGATAATAACTGGTAAAGGATTTCTCATTCTGTAGGCTTTCTCATTACTCAAACGATGGTGACCTTTACTATATAGTGCTTTAGCTTCATGTGGACGCATTTGTCAGTTGTTGGTCTTAATACCTGTGCTACCATGTCCTGTTCATAAAATCCTTTCTTATGCTTCTAAGTTCAAACATAGCCCCTATTTTCTCCTCTTACCGATTCAGGGTATTGAAGTTTTTGATTCATTTTGAATTGATTTTTTGAATAGAGAGATCTTTATCTCTTAAGATAAAAATCTAGTTTTATTCTTCTACATGTAGCATACAGTTTTATCAACACCACTTGCTGAAGGTACTGTCTTTATTCCAAGGTATACTTTGGCCTCTTTATAAAAAAAAATCAGATATTTGTAGATACATGAGCTCATATGTGGGTCTTCAATTCTGTTACACTGATCAATGTGTCTTTTTTTTTTACATCAGTATCATGTTGTTTTTTTATTACTATTACTGTGATGTGTAATATAACTTACAATCACAAATGGTGATACCTCCAGCAGTTCTTTCATTGTTCAAGATTGGTTAGACTATCTGAAAAGCATGAGGCTGGTCAACTGATATTCTCTGCAAGAGGTTTATTA